TATGTTCAATCTAAACATGTTAACAGCATAGACAATTTGATACATTTTTACCTATAGAAATTTTAAAAGATTAAAAACATGCACTACGCTGTTAATTTTCAATCAGCTGTCAGCATGTCAAGGTTATAATTGAAAATATGCGTATTTAGAAGTCCCACCAAATATATAGTTACAGAGATTTCTTGTTTAGTTCTGCTGTCACTATAAAGCATCCCTACACGTTACACATTAATAATATATGTTTAGTTATGGATATCAACATAAATATTCAAATATGGAACTAAACTGGCCATTTATTCTACAGTTCATTTTCCCCAAATATTGTCCCCTATCCCAATGTGGGAAAAATATTTTAAAATCTGGAATAAATTTTTTAAATATTTTTTTAAAAATTGTTCCAGTGTGGTAACCTGAATTGGCAGGTTTTTTTTTTTTGTTTTGTTTTTAATTTGATTTATATGCCGCCCTTCTCCAAAGACTCAGGGCGGCTTACAATGTGTTGCTATACCACAAAGTCTGTGATACACATATTAAAATTTAATCATTAAAAGTATGCACTATGTTTCTTGCCCAATTGTATTCATTTTATTCATTCAATGTGGGAGGGGGCACATTAATTTATTCACCATTTTAGGGGATTCTTCCATCAAAAGTTTGAGAAACCCAACCTTACACCATACCCCACAAGGCAAAATTGGGCATCTCTGAAATATTGGGATTATAATTCATAATTTTACAGCCAAGATTGATAAAAAGGAAATATTTTCTTTTTAATCTGCAGCTGACAGATGCTAAGTTTTCATGGATAAAAGCAGCTGGATAACCACGACTGGCTAAGCCCCAATAGGTACCTGCAGGGGAGACCACCTGGGAATTCAAGTCCTGTAGGCTAAACTGGGAAGGTGAAGGCAAAAATTCCAGAAGGAGGTGATAAAACTGCCCCAAAATCTGCAGGGATGTGGCCACCAGAAGTTCAATTCAGGGGTGTCTTTACTGATTGCAATTTTTTTCTATTGAGATCTTTATATACACTTCCCTTAAAAGTTTGCCCATGATGATTTGAATGAACAAGCCAAACTTTAGCCATCATCCCTTCTAAACTCTAGTTTCCATCGCACTGTCCTTCTTGAGGTTAAAAAGCTGCCTATGCAGCAGTGGTGGGTTGCCCCCAGTTCAGAACCGGTAGTAAAACCGGCTGGAGGCTCCGCCTACTGCCCTGGATGTTGTCATAGGCGATCTGCACATGTGCAGAAGCTTCTGCGCATGCGCAGAAGTGTGTGTGCGTGAGCGAGCGAAGGGAGCTCGCACGTGCGATCCCGTTGAGAACCAGTACTAAACGTATGTAGAACCCACCCCTGCTGTGCAGCTTTTTATGTTCTATGTTACTTGAAAGTGACATAGAACAGCTACTTCAGGCTTTACATTCTGATGCAAGGGACTCCCTTTTTTCTGCCTCCATTTTCAAGGGCAACATCTGACGGGGAAATTTCCTTTTTCCAAAAAAAACCAATATCATTCTTTGCTCCTGAAACCGTTCCTGACAAATGTTGCAATGCAGGCCTGGAATACGAAGTGCAAAGGGGAAGAAAGAGACAATATGGTAATTTTTCCTAATGGCCAAAAAATCAGGAGAGATTCACTCATTTTCCCTCTTAAGATAAATGTTTGTATGTCCTATTCATTTTACCTTGGGCTGTGACACCTAAATCATCAATTAATTGGGGGATTATTGGAGTGGTAGTCCAACACACCTGATAAACATCGTTTGACTTTTTATTTTGGGCTGTAACATGACTGCTTACCTGTCATACGATCATGCATATTTTTAAGGGCCTGAATAATTTTGTAGAAAATATTAGAACTGTTTTTATAAAATCCACCCTCTAAATTTTTTTCTGTAAATAATCAAATGTTTCTAAATTTAAGATTATGCTTAACTATGCAAATCATGCTTAAATAAATTAATTGCATTTATGATGCCATTGAGCTGAGATTTACTCCCATGCACACATGATTATGGCCGTTTGTTGCCTATATTTCTGAAATATAGAAGTGCAGAATTCAAACAACATGGAGAACTTCTCAGTTTAAATCGCAAATTATTAAACTTCAGTGAACATTAAACTTTATAATGCTGAATTTTCAAACTTGAACTTTCTTTCTGAATTCATTTGGGGACAAAATGAAGTTTAATTTTCTAGTTAGATATGAAAACTCCATTTTCTTTGCCTTAAAATCATATGTAATCTAAATTTTGTATTTTTAAAAAATATGTATAGATTAATGCTCATTACATGTTTATGTAATGTGCTAAGCAAGATAAAACATCCGCTCGTAATTCTAAACAACAGTGGTAGTCAGAGAATACGTTTAGCTGTTAATATATTTTCTGTTTCACAAAAAAATGTAGAGGGGGAAAAAAATCAATGGACTTTGCATGTAGAGATCCCAGGAAATTGTTTTGTCAAAGGCGCAAATCAATTCCTTTCCGATTGGATTCTCACTAACTTCCACAAATGACGGGGCAGGAAAGAGCCAGAAATTCAAAGTGCAGAACAATGTTTTACATTACAAGCTTTTATATTAACAGAGCATTGAAAAGTATACAAGGGCCCTTTTTTTAAAAAAAAAAATGCATGAAAAGAAAGTCCTGTTCTCAATGGCCAGAACTCATTACATCTAAATGACACAGTTGTAACAGGATGCCTTCTCTTTCAGTCTGGCTTCCCAGAACACACAAGGAAGGGCCGCAACTTTTCTGGCACAACTGTTTGAACAAGAACTTTACTCCCCACCCCTTTCTGCTGCATCTCTATCTTATCCCACAACACTTAATTCCCCATCACCCGGAATGCAAATGTCTGAGACCATAAGCGCCCCAATTCTTTTTCAAATTACTACCTTTCTGCATTGGGTCAAGCACCCCAACAAATCTGTGGGGGGCTTACATTGGAAAAGCCAGGGCACCAAGCAGATGGTGCTCAGAGGACAGAGTTATAAGGCAGGACCGCATCCTGGAAAGAAAAAAAGGGATCTACTGTGGCCAACTCAAAGTAACTTACAACAAGAGAAACCTTTAAGAACCCAGAAAAAAGAGTGAGGCAAAACTAATGCACAGAACTATGGCAGCGGAGAGGGAGGAAAATTCAGAGAAATCCCGAGATAAATAAAAGGGAGATTTGGGAGCTGGCCAGATTAAAGAAAGCAAAGGCCATTATCTCACCTGGAGAAAGAAAAGAGGGAAAGAAGAGAGAGAGAGAGAGAGAGAGAAACAAACGGTAGATTTCTACCTGCAACTTAAACCAAAACATTTCTTTTAAGAGTGAAAGTTGGCCAGCTCTGGACTGACGCCCTTAGTATTTACATACCAACCACTAAAAAGAACTGAGATTCTCGGATAAACTTCTCGTATTTAAGCGGGCATTTTTGTGTGTGTGTTTAAATCACCTTCCACAAGGCCGCGTTCACAAGTTTTATTTGGTCAGCCGGAGCTTAGTTGTAGCTGTAACTAAAACCCGGTCTGCAAATTAGCCGCCCTCTACTACGGGAGGCCTAAACGCGGATTCAGACGATCCCGACGCGAGTCTAGCCGGGCGGAAACAGGGTGAGGGGGAAAAAAAAAGGCGATCGATTCGGGGGGAAGGAGGGGGGGGGGGGAGGTCCTCGGGTTCTGACGAGTGGTTAAAGATCCGCGGATCGCTCGTCTCCGTCCCGGGAAAATCCACTTGAGGGATCAGGTTGGCGCCCCCTGCTTGCCTCCCTCCCACAGCCGCCACCCCTCCCCACAACCTTCCCGGTCTCTTGACCGTCGCCCAGCCAAGGGGCGGACCCAAGCGCTCGAGGCGCAGACTGGCCGCTTCCCCCGGGCGCATTGCGTAAATCGAGGACGGATCCGGCGCGCAGAAATACTCAACGTCCTTTCCCGGAGAGCGAAGAAGGGCGCCCGCGAGTCTTACCTGGCCGCCTGTCCCAGATCTGGGGAGGGGAGCCGGTCCCCCCCCCACACCCACAAGTGATGCAGAGGGAAGAAGTGAAGTCTTTCTTTCCCTCCACGCTCCTCTTTCTTTCCCCCCCCCCCCCCTTTGCCCCCCCCCCCCCCGGTTGGTAGCCGATCCGTCTCCACCTGGAGCAACCTCGGGGCCGCGCCTGCTTTCTGCCTTCGCCCGAGAGGGCCGCCCCCACTCCACCCCACCCGCCGCCGCTGCTTTCTCCTCCTCGCCTTTGCGCCCCAAATTTCTGCAGGCAGAAGGACCTGCAGGAGGAGAGCGGCGGCGGCGGCGGCGGCCTCTGCCCGTCTCCCGCGCCGCAAGGAGAGCGCGCGTAATCCGGCGCGGCTCTGCGCTCCACAGCGCCTTAAAACCTGTCCCAGGTAAAACCTCCGGGCGGGAGGAGGTGGAGGAGGAGGAGGAGGAGGAGGGGAAGGGAGTTTTATCAAACCGCAAAAAAAAAAAAAAAAAAAAAAAAAGGTGGTGATGGTGGAGGCTGGAAAGCCAGCCTAGGATCTGCTGCCCTGGGTGCAACCCTCTCCCGCCCGCCAGACTTGACTTCCGAGCAAATCTTGGTTAGGATCCCAAGGAGCGGAGGGGCTCTGGCGACCAGCTACCTGAACACCTGCTGCACGGTGGAGGGGGAGGAGGGGGAAGGAAAGAGCTGCTCGGGACCCAGCCGCTAAACAAAAGCGATCCGCGCGGCTGGTTGCCACCCATCCCCGCTGGCGGGCACGCCCCAAATCCAGAGAGAGAGAGAGAGAGAGAGAGACGGGAGGGCGTGATCCGCGCACTTACACACACTTTTCCTGAGCCTTTGAAGACTTGGTTGACGGTCCCTCGGCACGGTACGGAGCGGGGGGAAGGGGAGGGTAGATCGAATGATGCCCTATCCTCTCTCCTCCTTATCATCATCATCATCACCGCCATCATATCATCATCATCATCATTACCCCCCCCCATTATATCATCATCATCATCATCATCAGGAATCGGATCGTCCTGATGGAGCCACGACCCCTTTATTTCTTGCCCACCAAAGCAGGGTAGTAGTACCGTAGGCAGGGCAAAGCTACAGCTCCCGGCCACGGCCGTCTCCGAAAAGTTGGTGGGGGGATTGAATTTGCAACCTCGCTTCGTCTCTCCGGCGCGCAAAGTAAGACGCTGCGGGGTTCGCAGAGTTTACCCCCAGTTTTAAGGTGGGGGTAAGTTCGGGGGGCGTCCGGCGCTGGTTCCCCCCAGCGCGCAAACCCGACGGCCGGCTGGGATGAGATCTTAAGGGAAGGCGGCGCGAATCTGTGCGGTGGGACAGTTAGCGGTGGGTGGGTTGGTTGGTTGATGGGAGAAGGGATCTGTTTCAGTTAAGTCGGATTTGGCGGCTTTGACTGTCCGGTGAACGGGAAAGAAAAAGACTGGGATGGCTTGATACCCGATTAAAGTAAAATAAACCCTTAATGAATGCCCTTCTTGGTCTTGATTTTGGGCTAAGGCTGGAACGAACGAAGAATAATAATCATTTTAACTGCTCCCGACAGATTTTGTATAGATTAAAGAAAGGGGTATGTAGATGAAAAGCAAGTTAAATTTTAAGCAAAGGTATTTCCCTGCGCCGCCTTACTACACCCCATGAAAAAAATGGGTTTGGTGCTGACTTTTGAACAAAATTCCTTTTTAAAACAATTGGATTTACACAGATACTTTTATAATCCGGATGCATTCTAAGGTTCCCTTATGGTTCTGGAATGCACCTGATCCGGAACTGAATTTGGGGATGCTGGCTCTCTGGGGCAAAAATAAATGCCAGCTGAATGTATTTGTTCCACATTTGGGATGTTCAAATAGTATGTTCAGCCCAGATGTGACCAGGCTCCTCTCTAGGACAGCAATAATGTTAAATTAGTTTAGTGGGGCAAATATGAAGGAAAAAATTTGATAACAATAGCAGTTATGTTTGAGTGAGATAGACAGTGCATTTGAATTTTTATGGGGCGTTCAATCCCAATGTTAAATAAAGTGAATTGATTACTTGTGTATTTTTATATGTTTTTGAAAATTAATTAGTCCTGTAAAAGTGTGCATCAATACTACAATATTCCCAAAGGAGAAAAAAAATATGTGTTCTTGGTTTTTAGGCAGTGCACATATAGGGGTGATCTTAGACAAAACCATCTTCTGTGTTTCAAGGAAGGAAAATTCTAATCTGCAGTTGTAAGGAGTGCAAAGGAGTATTCCAAATAATCAGGCTTTTCTTATCAAAACTGTTTAAATTCATTAAGCTTGATATTCTGATTTTACCAGCCCTCCACCAATTTTTTAAAAAAACATTTGTGCTTGGGGTTTTCACTTTCCTTTCCAAAACCTAGTGGGTTTTGTTTGTTTTACTTTCAATTTGAGAAAAAATTGAAAGTCTAGAAAGCACTAGCACATGTAACAGAAAGGTGAAAATAGGTAAAGGACACTAACTAAAAATAAAATGGGAGAAAACACTGAGCAGCCTTTGGTTCCTGTATTGAGACTTTGTAGATACAGAGATTTGTCAAAAGTTAACAGCGCTTACATGTCTAGGCTGCAGTCTTGTATAAATTCTACAGAGCCATGCAAATGTAATCTTTAGCCTGCTCTGAGCTGACTTTTTAAATTTGATTCTGTAAAACCACGATAACTTCCTATTTCAAATTTAGTTTCGAAACAGTGTAAAATAGCATGGCTATTTATGGTGATCTGCTTTTTTCAGTGGAAATGCTTGATTTCTCAGCATATCACTGACCATCCCTGAGACTTTGTTACAAGACTTTCTAGCTTCCCTCAGCGAAACAAAGATGTTTTCCCTGCTAATAACCATGTTTCCCTTGTGTTGTTGCATTAAAGACATGATGCTATAGACATCAACATGTGGCTAAGTATCAGAATAACAGATTGGAGGTCTTCTAGTTCAACCCCCTGTCCAAAGAGGAAACCCTGTAGCATTTCAGACAAATGGTTGTCCAATTTCTTCTTTAAAATCTCCAGTGTTAAAATATCTACAACTTCTGGAGACAAGTTGTTCCATTGATTAATTGTTCTAACTGTCAAGCAATTTCTCCTTAGTTCTAAGTTGTTTCTCTCCTTGATTAGTTTCCATCCATTGCTTCTTGTCCTGCCTTCAGGTGCTTTGGAGAATAGATTGACCCCCTCTTCTGCAATCCTAATTGCAAAATGGAAAAATCAGCAACTCTCCCAATGGATTTAGAAGGGACAATACGTGTGTTCCTTGAAAAAGAGCTGCAGCTAAAATACTGTGTTCAGCTCCTGAGTTCAGTGTTCTGTAGTAGGGGTGATTAGAATGTCAGCGTAAAGGTCTAATTGTCAACCTCATCCTTCAGTTTTTCAGCAGTCTAGGATTGTATCCAAACGGATATGCTAAACAGTTCATTTAGCAAGCTGAAAAATGAATGTTAGAAATGACTGTTGTGCTGTATGTACATTTTTTGAGAATACACTTTAAGGCTTTACCAATAGAAATTCATTTTGAGTTTTGTTCAAAATGAGACAACAATGATTGTGCTCTGAATTCACTTTTTAAAGAAGAGATACACCATTGTGTGTTTCTGTAAATTCTACCCTAATAATTGAATTGTATCACATACGTTTTGGAGGTCCTTCACTTGCATTTGTTTTTCTTTAGTTGACTTCAGTAATTGGCGTATAACTATGTTAGGGTTACTTATTACTATATTAATAGTTTATGTAGATACCTCTTGGTCATTTGGTAAGATGCATTTCAAAAATATTGATTTTTTTTAAAATGATATTTTTAACATTCTTTCTTTAAAAGCTAAAGGGATGTATTTTTTAAAGCTATCAAATGGGATCTTTTACAACTTCTAAAAGGCACTGAAGATCATAAATGTTTAATTTTCTTCTAGAAGAGGCTTGTACTGTTGGTTTTTTATTTATATAGCTTATGCTATTGTAGGGGTCTAATCAGTTTAGACTTAGGTCTGGTGTTTTATGATTTTACATTTTTATAAACCATCCAGAGAAAAATAATGTGCTACACTAAATATTTTGGTAAATATATTATAAAAGAGACAAAAAGGTACATCCAATGATGCTTATACACAACCTACAGAAAGCAAAAGGATTTTTCAATAAAAAATTTTCTTGTCAGGAAGCTATTTATGGTATGATAAATGTGAATATTGGGCTCTCTGAATAGGATAAATTAAAAAGGAGCTTTATAGGTGAAGTGGAACAGTGTTAAACAAGGAATTACTGAAAAAGAAATTAATTTTAAGTACTTTCCTTAGTGCTAGCAAGAATTTACTTTAGTTCTTATGCCAAACTGCCAATTATTTTGATCAGAAATTTTCTGGAGACCTGCAGTTTTCAAAGTCTATCTTTTATATTAACACTGGAAGTTTTGCAGGAAGCTTTAAAGACACAAGCCTCTGTTTTAGAGGAAAAAAATACTTCTGTCTTTGAAGAAAAAATGCGGGATGTGGCTGAAGAGATGGCAGAAATTAAAGAGGTGATTCAAATTTGAAATTTCAGGGTCTGAAAGCATCAGGGTGAAGAAGACGAAGATATGTCCAAGAACATTAACAGATCATAGCCCGGTTTGGATGGAACTGGAAAATGAAAAGGGACCCAGGAGGTCCTGGAGGTTAAATGAAAATTTGTTTAGATATGAGGAAAATGTGAAAGAATGTAAAAAATTTTTGAAAGAATTTTTTATTATGAATATGCATAAAGGTACATCTATGGAAGTGGTATGGGATGCAAGCAAAGCATATATGAGAGGTATTTTAATATATTTCAATAATAAACACAGACGTAGACAGGAAAAAAAATGGATTGATTTAGAAGAGGAAATAAAAAAGAAAGAGCAAGTATTAACATTGAACCCAGCAGATGAGAAAACAAAAGAAGCAATTAATTTATTGTGAGGGCAATTTAATATGGCACAAAATATTGAGGAACCAATAATGATGGAAACGTGGGAAAAAATATGGGTTAGAAACGTAAAATTTACGCAAGCCCAAAACTTGAGAGAAAATTTTTATAAAATGTTTTATAGATGACATCTAGATCCTAAAAAGTTAGCTTGTATGTATCCAGGTTTACAATCCAAGTGTTGGAGATGTAAGTGTGATGATGCCACGTATTATCATATATGGTGAACATGTAAAAAAATCAAGGCATTTTGGATTAAAATTTGGTGGATTATGCAAAATATTCTTAAAAAGAAGATAAAGTTCACCCCACAGTTGTTTTTATTGGGTATAATTACAGATTGTATGGTTATAGAGACTAATTTGATTTTGAACTTAATAACCGCAGCCAGACTTTTGGTGGCGCAGTACTGGAAGAAGGAAGATCTACCTACTATTGAAGAATGGACACTAAAAGTAGTGAATTTAGTGGAGATGGCTAAAATTTCAGCATATTTGAAGGATCACTCAAATGAAAGATATATATTGAAATGGAGAAGATGGATTGACTATATTCAAAATAAATATGGGACTAAAATGTTTCAAATAGCTTATGAATGAAAAAAAATATATATTTAAGGGAATTCTTATATTTAGTCATGTAAAGGGGAGTTAAAGTGCAAGAGGGAGATAGGAGTTTATAGATAGTTGGCATATGTTAGCTTATGTTTGTTAAATGCTATACCCTGTATTTTGCTCTGGGAAGTCCATGGGGGGGAGGAGGGTTGGGTTGGGAGTGGGGAGGAGGGATGGGAAAATCTTTTTATCATTGTTTTCAATCTTTTGATAGAATGTTCACGCTAGTTCTAAACCTTACTGAGAATAAGACAATAATGGGGTAGATCTAATAAATCTTACATGGAGTAGATTCAAGAACAAAAATGCAAACTTGGAACTGTAAGACAACTTTGAGCCCAAGATAGAATCTTATGCTTTACAAAGATTTTGTTCTGATCATGCTAGTCTTGGTTACCACCCACCATTCAATTATAGCTGGAGAAAAGATACAAGATCCTTGCATTAGGTTTCATGCATACCAGTTATAACAGTTCTCTTATTATTGAACACTCTATTCAATTTACTTTTAATTCAGTTATTTGGTACTGTTTTAAATTCTGTCCTTGTACCTGCTTTCAAGATCTGGAACATAATGGACTCAGTTCACTGTGATGATAAGGAAGGAGGTAAACTTGATAACTATTTCCAGGGGAAGGAAAAATTTAGCTTCCAAATTGGATATCCATCCTTCCTTCCTTCCTTTCTTCCTTCCTTCCTTCCCTCCCTCCCTTCTTCCTTCCTTCCTTCCTTTTCCTTTTTTCCACTCCTTCCTCCCTCATTCCCTTCCTCCCTCTTTTCCAGTCCTCCTTTCCTTTTCCTTTTCCTTTTTTCCACTCCATCCTCACTCACTCCCTCTTTTCCAGTCCTTCCTTCCTTCTTCCTTTTTTCCACTCCTTCCTCCCTCCCTCCCGTCCCTTTTTTCCTTCCTTCCTTCCTTTTTTCCATTCCATCCATCCATCCATCCATCCACCCATCCATCCATCCATCCATCTGCTCTGATGTAGTAGCTTCAGGTTTGCAGCAACGAAGTATTGACATTGCTGACATTGACATTGCGAGCATGACATGGAAAATGCCCACTCCTTGTACCCAGTACTAACTGTTCAGTTAATGACTGATACTGTTGATACCACCTCCCTAAGGAGATAGGAAGAGTTCCACCAGTTGACTAATCTGCTCTCTCTTGCAGGCCATCTAGTACTATTAGCTCCAAACCTACAAAAAAATCTAAGAGGATCAAAGGGATGTAACACGGGAAAACTGGTATGCCTGAATGTAAACCCCAGTAATGAGATGATGTTTTATTCTAGAAGAATAGAGAATGATCTTTTATTCTAGAAGAATAATCTTTTATTCTAGAAGAATAGAGAATGATCTTTTATCCTAGAAGAATAATCCTTTATTCCAGAAGAAAAGGCAATCAGGAATCTCTCTCTCTGGTTAAAGGCTACAAAGGGGAAAATATTATGGAGCCTTGTTGTAGGAGGATGGCATGTTTGTCGATGATGGCAAAAAAAAATCAGCTTGGAAGCATCTTTTATGACTAGCAAGTTTTATTAAAAGTGTAAACTTTCAAGAGCTGCTGTGGATTTTGTTAGAAGCATTGAGTATATGCTATGCTATTCCTCAAAACTTCTATCTCTAAAATTTTATTAAAGCAGGCAGCCATAACGGAGAAGCGCGTTGCTTCCTTCAATTAGAATTTAATTATAATTTTAGGCACTGCCAATAACAAAATGAAAGGATATTTATCCTGGACTGCCTTACATGTTGGATGGAATGGATAGTAAATCCTGCCTCATGTTTAATTTATCCAGATTTAAGGTCTTCAGGATACATATCTACATGAAAACTATAAACAAACTTTTAGAATCCACTAACTTGACTTGCTTAACTCTCAATAACATTGGAATTTAAAAAGCCTTAAATTGTACATTTTTTCTTTGGGGAAGCATTATTGTTATTATTATTATTAATTCTTTAATTCACTTCCTATATTGTCCCCCTCTTTTCTGTTCTCAAGAGTGAGAGTGTTCTCAGTTCTAGAAACGTTTGCTAGCTGAATACAAAAATCCTTCTCTTTATCCTTGCTATAATTCCTATAAATAGACATTTTAATTATGAGCTAATTTTTTATTGTCTGAGTTTGAATAGAAAGGTACTGTTTATAAGATGGGAGGATGGGAAGGCAAGTTCCTAAAGATGTAAACATTTTCATTTAAGAAATTATTTTAGTAATCATTTTTGCCAAGCAAGCAAAAGTACTGTAACATAAAATGAAAATGCGAACACAGTTAAATAAAGATCTAAAACAACTGATTCAGCAACATTTTTTGCAGTAAAATACATGGTTTAATTTGGGGATCATGGAGCAGCATATCTTTTTATTTGCTCATTTTATCTTGATGGTTCTAGACAACAAACACATTGTGGAAAATAGATCCTTCATTTTTCCATTAGCATGTCTTAAATGTTATTGTGCATATGTTGTGCGTATGTTTTTGTGAACAGTCATGGAATGGATTTTTTAAATTTCAAAAATGGTTCATCGTACAAAAACTCAGACAATTACATTCTACTTCCCTGGTTTTTAAAAATTGTTATATAAATGTAGAGAATATATTTTGGTTTAACAGCAATTTTATTAGAATGTATTTGGAATTTCAAACCTAAATATATAAATACTCAGAAGATCTGATCTGTCTGCTCTATATGGATTCCCTCTCTTTTTTTTTTCCAGACATGAAATTTTTGGATCTGGCAATCCTGCTTCAGAATTCAATTCAAAAAGTCAAATAAAGTTTTGAGTTGCAGACACAGCAGTGCTAAATCTGTGCTGATTCCAGTTTCCAGATCTTCGTCTTAGCCTTGCCACATGCAGAAGCCACTTCGGAAATAAGGAAATATACATTTCTGCCTTCTGGGAGATGTGGTTTTCTCTCTTTCAGGCTGAAGGCTCCTGTGTTTAGCTGTAGATCTGTAACTGAGCATCTATTCTAAGGGCCAGTTCTCACATGCACGCAGTGCCATCAGTGAATCATCATTTGATGATTCAGCACTTTGATGACTCATAGATGGCTTGCCAACCAATTTCGCTGACACTTTTTGCCACAGGGATCAAGCGAAGATATTTTTAATTTAAGGAAAGCTTTATCGGTCAGTAGTTATTCACTTGAAAAGCATAGGGGTGTTGGCTTGCAGTGAAGGCCATATGGCACGAGTTTTATTTTATTGGACTCCCCAACTCCAAACTTGGCACCTTGCAATATAAAAAATGATAAGATAAATTCAAAATGAAAAATACAATAAGGGAACTAGGTCAGCAGTGAGCAGTTTTCCTTTGCCAAGCAAGCTAACAAACCATATTCAAAATTTGAGATTGGGTTAATGTTGTGTACATGATAACACATATGAACTACCATCCATTCTTGTCTTTTTTGTCCCTCAGTGCAGGGAACAGTAGAAAGACATATGCATGTATACCTGTCTGAACATACACGTAACTGCTGTGTGTATATGATAATGATGAGTATAAACATTTATTAAAATGAACGACCTGACGCCTTCGTACAGTTCTTGAGACTCCTGTTGACAGCCTTCAAAAATTTGATTTTGCTGAAAACCATTACTCCTTCTTGCCCTGTTAAGGTCGAGAATAGAGGGAACCTCTCATTCCATAAAATAGAATGAAAAAAGAAACTGTCTAAAAAAAAGAAAGAAACAGCATCCAATCCCCCAAATGTACAAATGCCTATATGTGGAAGAGGGCTCTACTGTTGTAGTCCATGTGCTGATGTCAGTCCCAGGAATCTTGGTATCAGTTGAAGAAATCAGCTCCATGCATTCAAACCTAATTATGTTTTACCTGCTCCGTCTCTCATACTCATGTAAATTAGGGGGATTCCCATCAACCATTTTTTCACATTTCTCCATTGTTTGGGCAAATATTAGGCAAAGTTTCCTTCCTTGTTGCTTTGGCAATGGATCCTTCCTTTCTTTTTAAGGTCATCTTTATTATCAAAACTTCCTCAAAAAGATTAAGTGCAATATTGAAGAAACATCTCATCTCTGGTAGACATGAATGTACTGCATGCTTGTTCAACATCATGTACAGAGAAAAGTGTCCCTAAGAAACACTTACTGAAAGCTGGGGTTGCACCCACAACTGGCAAGTGTTCCACTTTGTATAGAATACATTCAGTCCTTGCACTGATACAGATTCCTCATTCTATCTCTAAGCCAATGTATGAACTATAGACAAACTCCTTAATGCCACAAGTGATTCATTTATAAAGTCAAAGATGACAAGCTGATGGATTTACATGAATTATAAGTATACTCCTAAACCAGCAAGTGTTCCCCAAGTGACTTTAATCAGCAAACATGTAATTTATTTACAGTAATTTATTTCCCTGTTTTTCTAGCAGGGAAATGAGTTGTTCTCCTGCATATCCTGTGTTTCCCCCAAAATAAGACCCAGTCATATTTTCTTTTCAGACCCAAAATAAGCACCAGGTCTTATTTTGGGGGGATGTCTTATCCACTTACCTTAGGACCTCCGCAGCCATGCCTCCTACACCCTGACACCTATTGCACTGCTGCCCAATTTCTGTAGCTGCTTGTGGCACATTGCACTGGTGCTGCCACTCACGGCAGGAGGCTGTGTGGTGTGTTGTGCCATTGTGCATGCAAGTGGCGGCACTGATGCAATGAGCTTTGCGACATTCTGCCACAAGCAGCCACAAGCAGCTATGGGATAAGTTGGGCAGCGGCGTGACAGGGGTCAGGGCGCAGGAGGCCTGGCTGTGGCAGTCCTAAGGTATGTGAGTGTGGGGCTCGTGGGGCAGCTCCACCCTGCCCTAGCTTGATTTTTACGCCTGCTCCTTGTACAACCAGAGGGTGGTAGAGCTTAACTAGGGCTAATTTTGGGGTAGGGCTTATATTAGGCACAGCTGTGAAAATAGGGGTAGAGTTTTGTTTTCAGGGTGGGTCATATTTTCAAGGAAACAGGGTAAAACTATATTTTTGCCAGTTTACATATTTTATCTCTCCCTTGTATGCAGTGTTTTGCATCTAACCAACATTATATAGCTGAATTGTTGCTCAGTTTTATGGTGCAACACCATAAAATGTGACACTAGTCCTATTCCTATTTATGGTAGCCTTAAAAATATGGTAGTCCCTAAAAATTTCAGGAAATCCAAAAAAATTTCTTAACATAACAAACACTATCTCTAGTCGCTTTCTTAATCTAATCTCCTCTAGGTATGTTGGGAGAAGCAGTGTTTCCAATCAGGGTGGACAAAGTTGACTTGTTGAATGGATGAGTTGGGCAAAATGTAGGGGAGGAGAAGAAATGTAATCACACTCTAAGAAAGTCACCATCTTCTTTATAGCTTTTAAGTCCAATGATTTCCTCGCAATCTTTTTTTTTTTCCTGGAGGAGTGAAAAATGGCCTTTAAAATGGATCTAATAGAAAATTCCAGTGGATATAATTCGTCATGTAGACAAGCCTTCATTAACAGGGTGGTGTGTTCAGTATCCCTTTGGGAGGGATGTAATCCATGGTCATGTGATAGTAACCTTGAGCTCTGGCCAAACATTGTGAGTTTCTCATGCTACATCTGCCCCTGCCTGTTAAAATATCTGCCTGGATATCCTGCCCACCTGGCAGTTCGAAAGCATGTAAAGGCAAGTAGATAAATAGGTACCACTTCAGTGGGAAGGCAACACCATTTGTCTTTGGTGTATAGTCATGCCAGCCGCATGACCCAGGAAATTGTCTTTGGACAATGCTGGCTCCCTCGGCCAAGAAATGGAGATGAGCACCCTGCCTTAGATTCGGACATGACTGGACAGGGAAACCTTTATCTTTATATCTATCTGGCTTTGTATTAACCTAAAAATATTTCCCCTTGCCTGCTTCACTGGACTAGAAAAAAAAAAGGCATGGATAGGGTTTTTTTTATTTCACACATGGCAATTTTAAAAATTTTAGCAAGGGGTTCTCTGCCCGGTTGCTGGGTGGGCGTGGCCATGGTGGGCATGGCCTAGTCAGCCTCCTGCACCATGGTGTGAGGGCATTTTTGCACTACCTGGGCTCCCAAGGCTTTCCTCGAGCCTCAGGGAAGGCGAAAACGGCCTCCCCAGGCTCCCAAGGCCAGAAACGGGTTCGTTTCCAGACTTTCTGAACTTCCGGTAGGCCTGTTTTTTTCCCTCTCCGAGCCTCCGCGTGCGCCCTGTACTTAACTGAATCTAAAATGGGCCATGTGGGGACTCCTGGGAGGGGAGGGGCAGGGTGGGCAGGGCTAACCAGGAGTGGGATCTGGAGATTCTCCGAACTGCACAGAATCTTAGCTAGAGGTTCTCCTGAACTCCTGCGAACCCCCAGCAGCCCACCCCTGGTAGATCAGCCTGAGCCTGGACAGCTTATTTCATAACAAAGCTATGCCATCAAATCCATTCAAGGAAATACATATGCTATGCCTGTAATTTCGGAGGCTGTCAAACCCTTGTTGCTAAATACATCATAGATCTTTAAGATACTGGAATATATGAGTTGATCTCCTAGATCAGACCCAACTAGTACATCAAATCAAGGCATTGCATTTACGCTAAGGGAGCCAAACTTGGTATCTGGCATCTGTAGGGAACCTCCCAGATTGAAGATTAAGTTTTACAAGTGGTAACTTCTCCATAGCTGGTCATGCAAGTTTTACGATCCCTTTGCAGAAAAATCCAAATATACTACTATGTATAACAGCCCATCTAGGCGTCTTCACTTATACCTCCTATAATTCCCACATAGAGTGAAATTTATAGGGAGCTATAGTCCAATATAGCTGGGGGGAAACTGAGTTATAAATGAAGCAGTGAGGTTTACACCAATCACAGCTCAATAATCTATGCCATACATACATTTATGAACAAACAATAGTTGCCACTATTCTTTTAATTATAGTGTGATATATTTGCAATATACCACCCTTTCTTATTAAACTGCCTGAGTTAGTTAAGATCATAAAATACCTATTAAAATATCAAATACCTGATGAAATTGTCCAAAATCAAGTAAGACTAGGAAAAAAATAAACCCTCTAAAATTATAGCCAGATTGTTGCATTCAAAATGCAAATTCGAACTCGGGATAGCTGAGAGCAAATCAGAATTCTGGTAGACAACTGCTTAATTGTTTTTTTAATGGCTCCTTTTGAAAAGTCACCACTAAGAAGCATACCTGCATTACAAGAATATGGGTTCAGAATTTAACCCAGAGTCGATAGCAGAATTATTTTGGAGGATTTAAGTGTGGTTCATAAATAATCCTTTATTTTCAAGATAAACCTTTATAAAGTTCAGCATTTCCAAAAGCACAAAAGATATTAAAATATAAAAATTCCCTTGTTCAACTCTTGCTGACTACATGGACACAAAAGTACACGTATTTTTCTGAACACCCATCTATGTAATTTTTTTTTTCAACTTCCCAACTTCCCAGTCTAGCCTGAGGTTTATTGGTGTTCAGCTCTCCATCCATTAACCAGATATAATGCAATCAAAGTTGGACAGGTGCTGTTTTTAGATTTCAAGTTGTTGTAAGTCATAATTTCATAGTGAAACTCAAATGACCTTCATTTTGGACCTACATAAAAATCTGATATCCTGATTAATTAAAAAAAAGAGAAGATTGTTCCAAACTCAAGAATCCAGACAGGATCTTTTTTCCTTTGTTCTTTTTTGGCATGTCTGGAATCCAGCTTTGTGGATTCATTTGTCTTGGAATGTGGTTGCAAGAACTGAACATGCATAAGCTATAAATCTACCTGTGCATTTTAATTGAAAAGTAATTTTTAAATATTTTAAATTAAAACACACACACATGCATACATTTCCTAACATTTTAGACACTTTCCAAAAACATACTCAGCCATAAATAATTGCATGCTGGGTAAATGAATCATATTCTTAGGTATGCAGTCAACCATTTGTCAGAATGGATGGAGATTAGCATTTTACACCCTTCTGAAGACAGCATTCCTGTTTGGTACCACATGGGAAGCTGATAGAGAAACCGGACTGAGCTGAGATTAAGTGATACCACTGAAAAGTTCAGATTGCTTCCTTGCTTTAAGATCCCATCTGATTTACTTGGTCTAATCACTTTGAAATATAATTGAAATTAGAAGCGAATATTATTTCTGGTGAAAACCAATTCCACAATTTGCTGTTTTGTGCCAAAGCACAGTTTACTGTTTACCTTGAATCTTCTACTACTGAAATATACTGGGAGAGTCTGGATTTTAATATTGGTAGAAAGTTTTCTACCTAAATAGTTTCTCTGCACCATCCACAAATTTATTAACCTCTTTCAAGTGTCTCTTCTTTTATTTGCCTTTTTTCTAAACTGAATCACACCAAAGTACTGTGGGCTGAGCTTTTGTTGATTCTGTATCCTTTAAAAAATATATTTTTAATATTCATTGCAGAGAATTGTCAAGCATGGTAGATGCTGGTTAAAGACAGCATCACAGGGACAATTTTGCTACCCATTTCTCTTCT